TCATGTTATTACAGCGGCCACCTACATATATATATACCTTCATGTTATTACAGCGGCCACCTACATATATATATACCTTCATGTTATTACAGCGGCCACCTACATATATATATACCTTCATGTTATTACAGCGGCCACCTACATATATATATACCTTCATGTTATTACAGCGGCCACCTACATATATATATACCTTCATGTTATACAGCGGCCACCTACATATATATATACCTTAATGTTATTACAGCGGCCACTACATATATATATACCTTCATGTTATTACAGCGGCCACCTACATATATATACCTTAATGTTATTACAGCGGCCACCTACATATATATATACCTTAATGTTATTACAGCGGCCACCTACATATATATACCTTCATGTTATTACAGCGGCCACCTACATATATATATACCTTCATGTTATTACAGCGGCCACCTACATATATATATACCTTCATGTTATTACAGCGGCCACCTACATATATATATACCTTAATGTTATTACAGCGGCCACCTACATATATATATACCTTAATGTTATTACAGCGGCCACCTACATATATATATACCTTCATGTTATTACAGCGGCCACCTACATATATATATACCTTAATGTTATTACAGCGGCCACCTACATATATATATACCTTAATGTTATTACAGCGGCCACCTACATATATATATACCTTCATGTTATTACAGCGGCCACCTACATATATATATACCTTCATGTTATTACAGCGGCCACCTACATATATATATACCTTCATGTTATTACAGCGTCCACCTACATATATATATACCTTAATGTTATTACAGCGGCCACCTACATATATATATACCTTAATGTTATTACAGCGGCCACCTACATATATATATACCTTCATGTTATTACAGCTAACATGGAGCTAACAGCAGCTTACTGAATATATATATATATTTTACGTGTAGCTAACATGTAGCTTACGTTAGCTGTGTAAATATACAGTAATGTACCTGTGTGTGACGTCATGTGTCACCTGTCATTGATTTGTGTACATGTACCTGTGTGTGACGTCATGTGTCACCTGTCATTGATTTGTGTACATGTACCTGTGTGTGACGTCATGTGTCACCTGTCATTGATTTGTGTACATGTACCTGTGTGTGATGTCATGTGTCACCTGTGTGATTGATTTGTGTACCTGTGTGTGATGTCATGTGTTACCTGTGATTGATTTGTGTATCTGTGTGTGATGTCATGTGTCACCTGTCATTGATCTGTGTACATGTACCTGTGTGTGATGTCATGTGTCACCTGTCATGGATCTGTGTACATGTACCTGTGTGTGATGTCATGTGTCACCTGTCATGGATCTGTGTACATGTACCTGTATGTGATGTCATGTGTTACCTGTGATTGATTTGTGTAACTGTGTGTGATGTCATGTGTTACCTGTGATTGATTTGTGTACCTGTGTGTGACGTCATGTGTTACCTGTGATTGATTTGTGTACCTGTGTGTGACGTCATGTGTCACCTGTCATTGATCTGTGTACCTGTGTGTGATGTCATGTGTCACCTGTGTGATTGATTTGTGTACATGTACATGAGTGTGATGTCATATGTCACCTGTCATTGATCTGTGTACCTGTGTGTGATCTAACACCTGTGCAGACTTCCTGAGGAAGGTGTACACCCTCCTGAGCATGCAGATCATCCTGACTACAGCCACCTCCGCCCTCTTCATGTTCTCTGACACCATCAAGGAGTTTGTCCACCACAGGTGAGTCTGCGCTCATTATCAGGTAACGTGTAGGTTATTAAACTTCACACAGACAATCCCTTTTACATCACTCAATTTGAGTCGTTCTCTCTCGCTCCATTCAGGAAGAAAGCTCCGTTTGAAACAGTGAAACTCATCTCACATGTTTATTGTGTGTCCTCTCGATAAAGACTTAAAAGTTTCTCATCATCTTTAAGTGGACAGAACTGAGCTCCGTCAGGGTGAGTGTGCAGCTCCGTCAGGGGGAGAGTTCAGCTCCGTCAGGGGGAGAGTTCAGCTCCGTCAGGGTGAGTTCAGCTCCGTCAGGGTGAGTTCAGCTCTGTCAGGGTGAGAGTGCAGCTCCGTCAGGGGGAGAGTTCAGCTCCGTCAGGGGGTGAGTGCAGCTCCGTCAGGGTGAGTTCAGCTCCGTCAGAGTGAGTTCAGCTCCGTCAGGGTGAGTTCAGCTCCGTCAGAGTGAGTTCAGCTCCGTCAGGGTGAGTTCAGCTCCGTCAGGGTGAGTTCAGCTCCTTCAGGGTGAGTGCAGCTCTGTCAGGGTGTGAGTGCAGCTCCGTCAGGGTGAGTCTTCAGCTCCGTCAGGGGGAGAGTGCAGCTCCGTCAGGGGGTGAGTGCAGCTCCGTCAGGGGGTGAGTGCAGCTCCGTCAGGGTGAGAGTGTTCAGCTCCGTCAGGGTGAGAGTGCAGCTCCGTCAGGGGGTGAGTGCAGCTCCGTCAGGGTGAGAGTGTTCAGCTCCGTCAGGGTGAGAGTGCAGCTCCGTCAGGGGGAGAGTTCAGCTCCGTCAGGGTGAGAGTGCAGCTCCGTCAGGGGGAGAGTGCAGCTCCGTCAGAGCTATAAGCTTTGAGAGTTACATAAGGAACAGTTTATCGAGTATGTCTGTTCTCTGTCTGTTCTCTGCTTCAGTCCTGCGGTGGTTCTGGTGTCCGCTCTGGGCTCTCTGGTGGTTCTGGTGGTTCTGGCCGTCTACAGACACCAACACCCGGTGAACCTGTACCTGCTGCTGCTGTTTGTGAGTCTGTTCTGTTATTAACTGACTTCCTGTTATCTTCATGTTACCATCATGATGCTGTGATGCTACATTAGCTGCAAACTGACTGTAGCTAACCTTTGACCTTTATTTTCAGACTCTGCTGGAAGCGATCTCTGTGGCCACAGCCTGTAAGAAACGTTTCTGTTAAAATCTGTTATTTTAATGATCAATGAGAATCAAAGGTACTGATTTATTTCATCAGACAGGTGGTCCCATACAGACAGATTTTGGTTGTAAAAAGATCTGTGTTTTTGTACAGTTAGGACAGTGTACAGGTCCACAGTGTGCAGGTACACAGTGTGTAGGTACAGAGTGTGCAGGTCCACAGTGTGCAGGTGTACCTGTACGTTTCATAATTAAAAAGAGTAAATTACTCAACATTATGAGTCTAGATCTTCTGTTGTTGTTGCCGTGGTATCAAACAGGTTAAAGATTAAATGTTTACTGTGATCGTATAGAAGTGTGACGTTGTGGTGAACAGCCGACTCTAACTCTGATTACTTCCTGATAACTCACCGCTGATCTCTCGTCTCCCCACAGTGACCTTCTATGAGTACTCCACGGTGCTGCAGGCGCTGTTCCTCACCTGTGCAGTGTTTGCTGGACTCACAGCGTTCACCTTTCAGTCCAAGAGAGACTTCAGTAAGATGGGAGCAGGGTGAGTGTGTGCTGAGCTGCTCTCTTTCTGTCTGTCTGTCTGTGTGTGTGTGTGTGTGTGTGTGTGTGTGTGTGTGTGTTACTAACACTGTGTGTTTGTTTACAGACTGTTCGCCTGTCTGTGGATCCTCATCATCGCAGGATTCATGAGGGTGAGTGAAAACGCCTGCACACCTGAGTCTGATTCATGCAGGAGAGAAAGAGAGAGAAACTGGTGATAAATGAGTTGTGTGTGTAACGGTTTGTCAGAAGGTTTAAAACTTGCCTCAGGTTGACATTTCCAGCATGGAGACCGCCATCGATGGGACTCCAGCGCCCCCTGCAGGAACAGACTGGTGACATCACTCAGGCTTCAATATTTACAGTCTGTGGTCAGAGCACAATTCACTGCTGCTCTGAGGAAACAGATTCACTACAGAGTACTACAACACTAACCCCTGAATCCTTAAACCCTGCTGCTGATGATGATAATGAAGCTCTTTCTCTCCACCTCTCCCTCTCTGTCTCTCTCCCCCTTTCTCCCTCTCTCTCTCGTCCTCTCTCTCTCCCCTTCCCTCTCTCCCTCTCTCTCTCTCTCTCTGTCTCCCCCTGTAGTTCTTCTTTGACAGTGACAGCACTGAGCTGGTCCTCAGTGGGGTGGGGGCTCTGGTGTTCTGTGGCTTCATCATCTATGACACCCACCTGTTGATGAAGCAGCTGTCACCTGAGGAGCACGTCCTGGCCTCCATCAACCTTTACCTGGACATCGTCAACCTGTTCCTGCACATCCTGCGTGTGCTGGACTCGATGAAGAAACACTGAGACGCCACTTTATCCCATACTGTCTTAACGTTTACCTGGAAACACACCTTACACTGCGCACACAACAACACCTGTCCCACACCTATCTGATTTCTGTCTGATACCTGTCCCACACCTGTCTGATCTCCCCCCTGTGGAGGAGGCGTCACTATACCTGAAATAGTCACTCTCATGCGATTCCAGTGAAAATGAAACCATATCCATTCCTGTGTGTTGCCATGGTTACAGACGTCCTCTACGCCTGATATCTGGTCATTTATTGTTTTGAATTAATGATGATGTAATGAGTGTGAAGGGTTAAAACTGTAACGTGATGATTATTTATATTTATCTGTTTGTTGTTTTTAATAATCAGCTGGAAACTGTTTACATTAAAATAATTAAAGTATTAAAACCATCATTATTATTATTATTATTATTATTATATATACACAGTCTCTATAATGATTTATTATTATTATATATAAACAGTCTATATAATTATTTATTATATATATATATATATATACACAGTCTCTATAATGATTTATTATTATTATATATAAACAGTCTATATAATTATTTATTATATATATATATACACAGTCTCTATAATGATTTATTATGATATATATAAACACTATATAATGATTTATTATATATATATATACACAGTCTCTATAATGATTTATTATTATATATATAAACAGTCTATATAATGATTTATTATTATTATATATATACAGTCTCTATAATGATTTATTATTATTATATATAAACAGTCTATATAATTATATATTATTATATATATATATAAACAGTCTATATAATTATTTATTATTATATATATAAACAGTCTATATAATTATATATATATCCTGTATATACACAGTCTCTATAATTATTTATTATATATATAAACAGTCTATATAATTATTTATTATTATATATATAAACAGTCTATATTATTATATATATATCCTGTATATACACAGTCTCTATAATGATTTATTATATATATAAACAGTCTATATTATTATATATATATACTGTATATACACAGTCTCTATAATAATTTATTATTATATATATAAACAGTCCACACCTGCCTGAAAACAGCAACATTTGTTCCTGAGCTGGAGCCTGAACACCTCACACATAATAAAGAAACGCTCAGCAACGCCTCTTTTTCCTGAGGACCCTGAGGCGCAACAGACTTCCTCGAGATCTGCTGAAGAACTTCTACTCCTGCACAATCGAGAGCATCGTGACGTACAGCTGTAATGTCTGGTACTCCAGCTGCACTGCAGCAGAAAAGACGGCTCTTCAGCGGATCGTCACAACAACACATCTCACCCCGGACACTGTATGTTCACCGTCCTTCCCTCAGGCAGACTCAGGACCATCTGAACACGAACGAACTAAAACTGTTTATTTACTCATCCAGTCACTGCACAATAACAACTGTATATACTCTTTCACTGCACTAAAACTTCACTTATTTGCACTATATCTCTCTATATATATTTGTTTACCTAATCGGTCACTGCACAATAATAACTGTATATATTATTTCAGTCACCACAACTGTCTATTTATTTATTATTATTATTATTATTATTATTATTATTATTAATTCACTGAACAGCAATTGCTCTGGCCAGTTTTCACAAACATATTTGTCTTCATATGACCACAAATCTATGGTGAACTGTTTTTGTAAACGCTGCTGTATGGGATTGCTGCTAACGAAGTTTTGTTGTGTCGTTGTACACAATGATAATAAAGATTCTATCACTCTATCTTCTGACAGGAATGTCTTCTATCTGGGTGTGCCATCTCCTTGAGCTGAACGCTGTGACTGTTGACACTATAGCCAAAGTATCCGTTTGATCACCACCATGGCTTCTGTGAAGTGTCTGAAATATCTGAAGTACCTGAGACATAGGTGAACTCCTTAAGGGCTTGGATATTACGTCTGGACAAGAGATTGTATTTGTGACCTGTGTTGTCCTTTGAGTTTATGACATACATACACCTAAGACAGAAACCCCCGCAGCTGTATGGAGAGGGGTTGTCCTGAAGAGAAACAGATGTCCCCATGTTGTTCTCCTGTGGGGTGTGTCCATAAATACCAGAGGGTCTGTGTGTTCGACAGAGATCACTTTTGGCTTCGTGTCTCTCCCAGGTCGAACCATGGCGAGCCTGGAGATGCTGTATCTTGTTAATAAATAATCCTTTTTGAAAGCAAGTCAGTGTCAACGGCGAATTTCTTCATCATCAAACATATCATCAACAACAAGGGAATCCACATCATCTGCTTCAAGACAGAAGACAGAATCACAACAACAAGAGAAGCTTAGAGTTGATTGGCAACGTATACTAGACTGGAAAACTACAAGTAGAAATGTTCAAGTTGCCTCGGGAATGTCGCTGAGCTTGTATGGCCTGGCACACAGGCTGCTACTTCTCCAGTTACACAAAAGAAAGCGTTTAAATCCACCTCTGACAAGCACCTTTTTTTTTTACAGTCTCATGTTTCCCTCTGACACACATAACCGCAAAATAAAGGTCTCTTCAAATTGTATCATCTCTGTCAAGGGGGACTGCTTTCTATCCCTCCTGGAGTTATAACTTTGCGTAGATCAATGTGTTGGGTTTGACTGCATGTCATCCGGTTTACAGTTCAAAACATTCAAGAAATATATTAAACAAACTGCCTCTGTAAACCAGAGATTACATCAGATACAACAAAAAGTATTTCTTGATCACAGAAATGTTTCCTTCAACCTCTCTTCCTGAACAAATATCAACAGTGAGAACTTTTGCACCTGAAAATGCTCTCTTGCTGTTTTAATCATCCCCACTGCACTTTACCCTCACTGAAGCTGTGGTCCCAGCCTTGAACATTGTCACTTTGCTTCCCACTCGTCTGACCCTGTGACCCCACCAGAAGGAAACCCCCCAGATCGTATAGAGCCCGCCACAGTGACTCAGAAAGCCAGGCTACAGTGAGCTCATTGGGTAAGTCTGTGGCTGGTGACTTCTGTATGACTATATGGGATTGTTCTGGCTGCTTAGTCACTGAAGTCATATGTTATAATGACTTGACCTTGTTTGAAAGAAAGCCAACAGCTGAATGAATGGAAGAACATATGGGCTGATGTTGTGACGGAAACATGAAGCATGAACGACAGGGAAAACAAATGACTATGTTACAGATGTGTGTTGTGTCGAGAAAGATGTGATTAATTGTGTATCAAGAGGATAAACCAATGTGTTTTATCTGTATCAACTTATATCAACTTAATTGAGGAGAAAGAAGTGTGGAAAACACTTTTAATTTGCTAACGCTGAATTGTTATCAAACATTTGCTAAGAACGTTAGCATTTTGTCCTGAGGTCGATTGTTCCATCAGCTGTTGGGTTTTTAAATAGACAGAAGCTTTATTGTCACTGCACAGATATAGTGCAGTGATTGAATAAATAAATAACAGTTTTAAAGCAGTGTATTAAAAGTTATTTCACGAGAAAGTAGTGGACAGTTAGCAGCAGTAAAGTAATTATTGCACAGTTTAGCTGGGCTTTCTTTATTATGTGTGAGGTGTTCAGGCTCCAGCTCAGGTCCTCTGAGATGTGCACTCCCAGGAACTTAAAGCTGGTGACCTAAATTTAATGACACGTTCCACCTCTTCCTGGTTTATGTGCAGACTGTTTTTTTTTTTCTGTAGTCTATAATTATTTAACTTTGTGTTGAGGTGCAGGTTGTTGTTTTTACACCACCCAGAGAATGTTTGGACCTCCTCTCTGTAGGCCGCTTCGTTGTTGTTGGAGATCAGTCTTACAATGAAGGCGTTTGAGCTGTGGGTAGGTGTGCAGTCGTGGGTGCACAGGGAGTAGAGGATTGGACTGAGGACGTAGCCCTGGGGTACACCGGTGTTGAGGATGATGGTGCTGTCTCCCTGACATGCTGAGGTCTGTTGGTTAGACAGTCCTGGATCCACAGACAGAGGGGGGTTCCTACCTGCAGTGTGTGCAGTTTGCTGACCAGTTTGCATCTTGGTGACACCTGTGGACAAAGAGGTACGTCTTTTGTCTTTGCTCATCTTGTGTTGTACATGTGTAAGTAGTGTTTTCTAGTGAAAACTCTTTTTACTGCTGAAAAGAAGAGTTGATGGCAGTCATTTAAACATGTCTTTAGGGGGCCCTTTGCTGCGTGTCATCCCCCACTCTCTCGTCCAAACATTTACTGTATTTCTTTAGCTTTCATATCCAATAAAGGCAAAAGTGGCCCAGAGAGTCATAACTTAAAAAAAAAGGTAGTTACAGTCAATCTTCTTGTTGATGGTTTTGTTTGCATTTGTAGCTCACACAAAGGCATTAAGTATCAATCTGAGCCGGTTTCAAAAACTCCAGAATAACTCCTTCAACAACCATCAATATCAAGTTATAAAAGGTAACAGCTTTGCTATCAGTTCTGCTTTCATTTGGAAATATTTGATTCTACAATGTAAAAATTTGTCTTCCCTATTTTCCTCAAGTAAAAGAAAAACATTTGTTTTTGCTAATAAAGTCACTAGAGTATTAAATGATGAAAACTATAATGATTAGATAATACAAATAATTAAAACCAAATCACAGAGTGCTGAACATGAAAATTATGTTATGCTGTTCCACATCTTGTGTTTTTATTTTTTTAAAGATATATTTTTGGGCTTTTGTGCCTTTAATGGAGAAATAGGACAGTGGATAGAGCTGGAAATCAGGGAGAGAGAGAGTGGGGAACGACATGTGGGAAAAGGAGCCACCGATTGGATTTGAACCTGGGCTGCCCGCTTGGAGGACTACAGCCTCCATACATATGACATTTTTAACGTCATTTCATGTCTAAAGGCAGAACGTCTAACAGTCAAACCTGCATAATGTGGAAGAACAAGAGTCAGTGAAAAGATATCCACTTAATAATGACACAACTATTGGTACAACAGTAAAATGAGAAGTTCAGCCAGTAAGAGACCAACAAATACCAATATCTATACAGGGAAAAAGTGTTACCTAACCAAAGATGTTACAGAACACAAGGCAAAGGGGATTTTATGTCTTTGGGAGGGGGATGCTTCTAAACAAACACTATATACCGGAGTCACACACTTCAAATAAATCCAAAGATAACCTTTCCTGCTGTTTTTTTCACTTAAAGTTCTGAAGTGAAATTTGGCAAGACTCAACAAGAACAAGAACTACAGACTGGGTTTTTCGAAGTAAGCCTCAAGCCTCCTGACAGCAGATACTGTAAGACAAACCAAACTTCCCTTCATGTTCTAAGTATGTGACTTTCTCATTTTCACAGTTACTGACAGAAGTTACTGTGGTTTTTGACAAGTACACTTGATGATAAAACAAGCAGTCTTAGCATT